ATATAGACCTTGTATACATGCATCTTGGGATTCGACAATGATTGTAACTATTGAATTGTATAGACCATTACATTCGAAGTCAATAGCCTAATATATTTATTTCACAATTTCAACAAATGATTAGTTCACTACAAACTAAGAAAACAAATGTGTACTCCCTCCGTGTTTATTTATGTCCGCGTATTAGCATTGGTGAAAGTCAAGTTTTGTAAACTCTTAGAAAGCTTACAACAAAAAATATTAACATATACAATAACAAATAAATACCATTAGATTCATTATTGAATGTACTTTCATATCATACATATTTGTTATGGTAAATGTTTATATTTTTCTATAAACTTGGTCAAACTTTAGGAAGTTTGACTTCGGTCAAACCTAATATGCAGAGTTTACTACTACTACTTGCTAGTTTCTTAGCCGAATCACTCAACACGCCACACGGGGAGTCCAGTGTCACAAAATTTTGAGGTCATTGGGAAAATCTCCCGCGACCCTGATTCGAGCAGTGGGAAGTTACCATCATAGTCTTCAGAACAGGCCTATGGATGACGCTTGGTAGGGGGCTGTTTTCATAACTTCAGGTTCACCCTACCCAGCCAACCCCACCCCGGCACCCAGAGTAGTACACCTGAATACTCCCCAATTTCTATCCCCACCACAAAATAGACTTCTCCACGGCACCGCAGCCTTCGTGCTCCTCCCCTTTACATCGGCGCACTCGTCCACCGCAGCGCATCTGCCTCATCGACGATGTCGTACGCCGCACTTGAGCCAGTCCACCGTCGTCGTCGTACACAGAGCCTCTTCCCCGGCATCGTCTTCCACGGTCTCGGATCTGCTTCCCGGAAGCCGACGCCAAGCACAGAAGTACCACTGTCGTGGACAATGAACTAACTCCCGTTGCCGACCATGACTCACAGAGGACGCCGCGACCATCGTTCTCCTCCTCGATTGGTAATGTGTGTATTGAATCACTTAGCAGTACATGTGCAGTTCCAATTTTGTTCATTCCTACCCTTCAAATTTCCTGGGTGCTATTGTTCCCGTAAAAGTAATTGGTTATAGCCTCCATTGTCCAACAGAATATCATCTTGTAATTGTGCGTCGCTCATGTATCGCGTTGTGCTTGGGTAGGTTTTTCATCTGCAACCAGTAGTGTGGCAAATGATGGAAAGGTTTTTAGAACTAGCAAAATGCCCATGCGTTGCACGCACCAAGATGCATTTGTATGAGTAGTTAATCTTGTTGGAGATGCTCTTACATGGCAGACAAGTGCTTTAATGTTGCCCACAAGATGCGCGAGTATTACTAGTAGTATACTTTTCTTGCCATGTTCAGATTTTAAAACCACGAGTGCGAACATGCAGAGGAGCAATGAAGACCAAACACGGGATATTCGGGACATCTTCAAGGAGCGTGGCAAGTTAACGAGGAGCTGCACCGAACCTGTAAAACGAGCTTTGGTAAGTAACACCCTTCCAATTACTTTCGTGTAGCCTCGTGTTCTTCGATGTGTATATGTTGTAGTTTCTATTTCTCTTAAGCGTGGTGTTCTTCGATGTGTAATAAGAAGAGTCTTCATCGTCCTAATGCTTTCGTTTTTAGCTTGATGTAGGAAGTGGGTGTTCTCACCTTGTAGTCTGTTTTTATTTATTTTTCCTTTTGAATTAACTTCTCCGATTTCTGTTTATCTGGCTTCTACTAAATGGATCTAGGTTGCTCTGATTATTGATCTAAAAAAGAAGTAACTTCATGTCAGGATGCAGTTCCTGCGAGGAGGGAAGTATGGTCAACCTCGAGATCATGTTTCCAAAATGAGGCTGGATTACACACAAGGTGCCAGTTCCCTAATGATGATGGATTAGACACAAGGTGCAAATTCGCAGATGATGCTGGATTACACACAAGCCAGGTGGAGTCGTCAGCTGTTCGTGTCCTCGTGGCATTAGTAAAGGCTGAAAGAAAGCGTGCAACAGGCCTTGAGAATGTAGCTGAGTTCCTGAAGAAGCAAAAAGAGCAATCAAATGATCTCTTCACCCAAGCCCAAGAAGAGATGGAAGAAGCCAGAAATAAGCTAGCAGAGGCAGAGCAGGCTAGCCGTCTCCTGCTATCTAAAACTGTTGTCAATACAAAATTTCCTTCATAATAGCTAGGTTCAAATGTTTATCCAGTCAGCATGCCTGTTGTGATGTCCGTGCATCTATAGATGTGGCACAAAATGTTTTTTTCGGGTCATGTAATAACAGCAATTACTTTCCAAACAATAACAGACGAAGCATTGGACATGGTATAGTTCACGCACAAGCCCGACATTCCAAGTTCAAATTCCACACCAAACTCATGTTCACAGATATCTGCACATTCATACATAATGTCCACAACCATGATTCACTTCAAAGCCAAAAAAATGTGAGGGGAGTTATAAATAAACAAAAACAGGTCAAGACCATGCGTAAATTAATTATATTTTAGTCATTTTTGTGTTCTAAAATGTATGCCGGCTCGCGGAAGGACATGTTGCCGGCACACGCGCGGATTCAATGTAGGCAAGCGGGGCAGTCTTAAGCTGGTTGCACGCGGCGAGGAGGCATGCTCAGCCGGGCCTGCAGCGAGTGCGGCCCTCTTGACCGGCGCGCCGGTTCAATGCCTGCGCTATGAGAGGTCGCGTCCGTGTTAGAGCAATCACTCCCTCTAGTCCTTTTTTGTTTGGGTATAACAAAATCTCGTTTTCCATTCACATTTTACAAGTAAAGTTCATGGACAACCTTTGACCAAAGTACAATGGGGACTAGTAAACCAGAATGGAGGTAGTAGTTTTTTTAATCGAAGAAGGGTTTCCCCTTCCAATTTTCAGTAAAGAAAACCAGCATCTAAATATAAACCATAGTATTTGCCCTAAAACTACCAGGTTCAACATCTCGCAACATAAACCCATACAACCTCCATTGCAAAAAACAAACAAACCATACAACCATACGCCAAGGAGGTACGTAGTACTATGAATTCCATTTTCGCTCCATACCAATCATTCTAAAAACTACTTACTACTTATAACGCTCCATTGAAAATCGGAACTCTTAACCCCGCTAAAAAACAATATTTTAAGCATGGTTACTCGATCTGTGGCAACTGGCGAGCCACCGCGCTCCAAGTCGTTCACCTGTGGTCCTGACCATCAACTCCTATAGATCAAATTATCATGCGAGCTGACTATTCCTACAAAGGTGCTCCACCACGTACTCGGTACCCGCCAATGCAGCAATCGTGCCCCTAGGGTTTTAGGGTTTATTTGTTAATGTCACCTTTAAGTAACACTCATGTGTGCGAGACAACGAGAGGCCAACTGCGTGCGTGCGCCTCTTCTCTTCGTATATGTACTCCACCGTTTGTCTGGTATCCAAAAAATTATAATAACTACTAGCAATGTGCCAATGCGTTGCCACACGATCAAAGTAGATTAATACAGCGGCGGAGCTAGATGCAAACTACGCCTGGGGCTGTGCTATGTTGAGTGATAAACTTCTATGATTTTCTATGCTTTGCATTAAGAAATTACAAAGGAAGTTGTTTCTAGGCCTGGGACTATAGCCCTAGATGCCCCAGGCCTGTCTCTGCCACTAGATTAATACATATTCACCGATTTGATAGAAAAAAAGTCTAGCTTTGAAATATGTATATCACTAAAAATATGTTATGTTTCACTCAAAATATATTCATTTGGCGGTTTTGATGAGATAAGGGAGGAATGTTGTTGGTTTCAAGATTCGAGAAGTGGTATATGTCTAATTTCTACTCTTACTAGCAAGATGCCCGTGCGTTGCACGGAACATCAAGATCTTGTGGGAGAAAAGGGTGAACGAGGGAAGGCCTTATCTGCAAATGTGGTGAAGAGTGCGGGTAAATTGCCATATTTTCCTTCCTATCCGTCAGATATAAATCAGACGACCTACATTGCAGGATGGCAGGCCCACCATCATCACCAACTCTATTTTTTATCCCTACTCTTATAATAAGCATTGTGGGAGATGATCGTGTGCCTGCCATCCTGCAATATAGGCCGTCCGATCTATATCTGACGGATAGGAAGGAAACTACGACAATTTTGCAAATATACCCACACCCCTCTCCACATTTGCAAATAAGGCCTTCCCTTGTTCATCCTTTTCCCCACAAGATAAACTACTCATACAAATGCATCTTGATGTTCCATCACTACAAGAATTCTGTTAATCCATGACAGATTGGATCCATCATCGACCTGTGCAAAACTATCATGGAAGGGTATGTGTGACGGATTTAAAATTCGTCATGTATATCGCGTCATAATTTAACAGCTGCCCACTCCATGCCAGATCATTTAAAACTGTCATGGACCATGACAGTTCTTGGCCATCATGGGTGGCACTTAACTAACATGCTCATAATGGCGTTAACTTGTGTGCCAGGTCAGCATTTGACATGGATCCGACGTGGCAGCCCATGAAGTAATAGGCCCAAACAGAATTCCAGCTCACTAAATTTTAGCTCCATGCAAGACTAACGCCCATGTCGTAATCAACCCATTTGGAATTTTGGCCCATTAAAGTTTAGGAGTGTACAAAGCCCACTGGTTTTGATCTTAACAATTAGCCCATCTTATTTCTCCTGTTCCATAGAAATACTAATCCTGAGATAGTATAATTTTTTTAGAAAATGTATGCTCATGCCATTACATGAAAGGAAAAAATATATAAACATAACAGAAAAAAGCTACATAGAAAACTTAAAATTACAGGCATTTCCAAACAATACATCGGTCAAATATAAGAAAAACAAAAGAAACTAAAAACTACAAACACCCTATGTTAATTCTGTAGCCACAGACATGATAAAAAAGGAAAAACTCTGCAGCCACCGCCGCCCAGCTCAGCGCTCGCCGGACGACCACCGGGGGTCATTCTCGTGCATTTCTCGACGCAGATCCAGCCATCCCCGCCGGCTTCATCAAAGATAGAACCTTATCCACCAAGTCGCATCAACTCATGCTCGACATTGCCTGCATGTTGACAAAAGATAAGACAGCCTCAACGAATCCAAAGTAGAGAGGAAAGGGAACCTGGTGGGGAGAGGGGCTCATAGACCGTTGTGGTCAACGGAGAAGCCGACGGTGAGGACGACATAGGTGACGGATGCGGGCCCCGAAGGGGCGGCAGGGCCGCAGCACAGCGCAACCCCCAACGACATGGCCCAGTAGCAGCTCTGTGCAGCCCCGCGGTTGGGCACGCCAACGACAGGGTCGCCGGCTCCCTGCGGCGACATGGCAACGACCTGCATCAACGAGACCCTTGCTGCATGCACTAGATCAGGCTTTAGGGGCTGGATCTGGCCGTTGGGGAGAGAAAGGGGTAGGGGAGGCTAGAGGTGAGGAAAGGGGATGGTGGTGTTTGCAGTAAGCATGTAGGGAGGTAGGACGGCCGTGGCCGCGCGTGATTCGCCCACGGTTCCCGTGGACTCACGGATCTCGGCATGATCCGGTCGGAGAAGAGGACCATGCGGCCGCGCGGTGGGAGTGTAGGGGGCACGGCCGTTTGAGGGGTAGGTGGGCACGGCGGGGAGGCGTCCGAACGGGTGGATGGGGGAGATGGGTACGGCTGGCTGGCGGCATGAGAGGAAGGATGTGCGGTGGTGCGGCTGGGGAGGGTGTTGTTCGAGTTCGGCCGCCGTGGAGGCGCTAGTGCAGCAGCGGAGATTTGTATCTGGGGATTCCGAGAGGATTTCACTGTAGAAGATAAGGCAGCAGCTCGTGGGTGGGCTGAAGAACATACGAGAAAGAGGGGGAGGCTTGCTAGCCGTCAGATCTCAAAGTACCGGACGGTTTATATCTGTGATCCGTGGGATGGTTTGCTCAACCAATCACAACACGAGATTATCCTCACACTGGATCGCCACGTCGGTAGGAGCAGTTCGTTTCCTTGGAGAAAAGAATAGCAGCAAGGCATGACGGTTTCAACATCGTTAAACAAGCAGCAATGCATGATGGTTTAGACAACAGGTTAAACATATATTCTGTTTTTTTGGGTAAACATATATTTTGTTGATTCTCATATAGATGAAATTAACAAATTATATTCATATTTTTTTGAGTAAACATGAATTAATTTTGGAGTCACATATTCTATTTCTAAAGTTGTTGTGTACGTTTGCAAAGTTGTACGTTTGTAGTCTGTCACACCATGATTTCTTGACCAATTCGTATTTTTGAAATATTCAAGAAGGTTCGATTTGCACGGTCCGTTCCATGGTGCACATTTTTTTACTAAATCATCTATTGTGCCAAAAGTAAACGTCCAAATGCTCTTATAGTTAGTCGTGATTGAATTTATTTTTATTGAAATTTATAATATGGGTGTGGCTAGGTCTCAGTCAACTGAGACTTAACCACGTCTCAGTCAAGTGATATTAATAAGAAAAACTAAAAACTAAAGAGAAATATTTTGTACGAATCTCCATGCAAGATCAAAGGAATATAATATCGACTGAGACATAACGAAGTCTTCGTGGACTGAGACTTAGCAAAACTGTGATACTCCTTGCATGGAGATTTAGTAATATTGTCTCTAGGAAAAAAACAAAGGCCATATGGGCTTTGAGGAGTTTCTGGGTACATTTGGATCTTGGTGATCGATGACGGTTTCTGTGACGGATCAGAGAGAACCGTCATCGACGGTGATGGATTTCCAGAACGTCACCCAAAATCTGTCATGGATTAACAGGTTTCCTGTAGTGCGTGCAATGCATGGGCATCTTGCTAGTTGTTGCAAAAAGCCCATGTGTGTGTGAGAGAGAGGGAGAGTGGAGGAGGACGGAGTGCATGTGTGACAAAGACACAAGGAGTGTGTATGCGATAGGTATTAGCTTAAAATGAGGCGATAGTGTGTGTGTGCACGATCGAGAGGGCATGTCTCAAGAAGGGAAGAAAAATCTACATAGATACAAGGAGCGGGAGAGAGACATGTATGCGATGGTGGAAGCACGAGTGTGCGTGTGTATAAACCTATCTAGAGGCTAGCTAGTCGATAAATATTTGTGAGAGAAATACGAGTCGGGGTGCGAAAGCGAGAGTTTTGTGTTTGTGAGAGAGAGAGACGGTAGTCGGGAAGGGGAGTGGAAGCAGGAGTTGTGCGTGTGTGTCTGTGAGAGAGAGAGGAGACGGTAGTCGGGGTTGTCTAATCGGTAAACAAATGAATAATGTCAGTCTGGGATGAAGACGAAAAGGAGACCGCAACAAATGTTGTGTCTACAGGAGAGATAGAGAGAGTAATTTTAGTGCTATGAGTCATATGTAGAGACATATAGGGTGTGTGAGAGAATCCCATAGAGAGAAAGACAAAGTGAAAGACGAGTGGAGACTGTGTGTTTGGCGGTGAAAAAGAAAGGTTAGGTACCGAGTGATACCAGAGAACAATATAGATGTGAGAGATAATGAAAACCGTGTAATTCATAATGATAGGGAGAGTGTGACACTTCTCAAGGGAGACGTCGAGAGACCATGTTTGCGAGGATAGGAGCAACATGAAGTGAGCGTGCGGGTGAGCTGGAGAAAAGAGAGTGATAGCTACCTGAAGGAGCATGCATGCGAGAGAGATGGGCATGAAAGGAGTGAACAAAAAGGGATTGAAATATTTGAATTCGAGATGATGATACATGTAATCCGTACTTGAACCAAAATTGATCTATCAAACATGCATACTCATATGAATTCACGCACATCTATGTTATTTAATATGTAGATATTACAGATCCATACATTTTAGTAGAACATAATTTGGTTACATTTTTTTGGATTCAACCTTAAGATTTCAAGATTGTTGTATTTGTAAATCATATTATACATATAAAGGAGCATAATTCTTTGTTGTGCTTTTGAAAGTATATAGAAAAAATGATGTATATAGAATGTAATTCCGATTGAAAATGGATCCTGCCCCAAAAAATAGAATACAAACGGGATTCAAATTTAGTTGGCATGGTAAACGTGCACTCTGCAAAATTTGAACAAAACATGGAAAGTCGCAGTAACCGCCCAAAACCAAAATCTGCGAGATGGAAATCACTACTGCCTATCCCTTCCACGCAAAGCCTGTATGCTAGATTTCTATAGGTTTCGATAGGGGTAGGTTTGTAATTTCACCCAAACGTGACGTAACCGCCTCTCACCCAGATTCATACACGGTGGGCGCCAAAACACAGTGTGTCCTCGGCCGAAATTGACTCCCTCCCCGATTCATATTCATACACGGTGGGCGCCAAAACAAACTCTCGTCGGAAAATATTCAGTGTATGCGAGATAACCGTCCTATCCCCAACCGACTAGTGTTGCTGTGATGTAGTAGAAATTTGAAACAGGGGCTAAGTTTGTAAATTTCCTCGCATTTGAGACAAGCGCGCCCTGAATACATGGTTCCCCCCTTCCTCTCTACCTCCCTTTTCCCCATTCATACTCCATGGGCACCAACACACCCACTCCACCCCACCCTCCTCTGTCCGCCGCCGTCCGCCACCCCATCCACCGCCGTCCTCCTCTACCATGCCGGAGCTGATACCCCGACGCCACCGTCCATTACAAGAGATCGACCTCTCTCATCCACGGCTTTGGACCAGGATCCTTGCATGCCGCCTCTCGCTTCATCCCCGCCGTCGTCCACCTTGCCGGCACCGCTCCTACGATCGTCTCGTCCACCGCGCCCCGCCACCACCGTCTACCCTCCTAGATCTGCTTCCACGCCACCGACAGCCATCGCTACCGCAGCATCGTCAAATTCTCAGCAGATGCGTACACGGCGCCTCACCAGAGGCGGTACTCTTTTGTATCTGCTCAATTTATTTATTGCAGCAAGAAAATAGATCGCCACTGCTTTACTCTGATTTCTTGTCTTGGTTGCGAAGTTGCCTTTGTCTGGTTTGCACCTTCAGATCCGCCATGGCACGCTCAACACCATACTCGCAATGCTTATGGTTTTCCCCTTTTATATTCCACACTAGTTAAATCACAGTAGACTAAATTTCAAAATTGGGTCAGTCGATTTTCAGAGCTCACCGGAGTTCGTCGGTGCGATCGAAGGGGCTAGGGTGGGGATGGTGGTTGTGGGGGGCGGTGGTGGGGCCTCGTCGAACGAAGAAAACTCAACGCGGGTGGGGGCGGGGGTGGGGGTGGCGGAGGAACACAGGCGATGGGGCCGGTGGTTCGGTTGGCGGCCCGTGCGTTGTTCTGTATGGGAAGCACAGTATGTTCCTTGTCAGGAAGGGGAGCAGGGACATCTGCAGTCAACAGTTGATAGAGCTGGCCTGTACGTGATCGATAGGCTTTCAATTACTAGCGGCAATACAACACCGTAATTTCTAGCCAGTTCCACTTTCCCGATTTATATATCCTGGTTATGGTGTACCCCTGTTATGTACACTATGATCTGCCTAGTTGTCGTGTGATCTTGTTATCATGGTTTGGCAATAAACTCTCTATACAGTATATTATGAACCTATCATCTGCCAGCTATCCTTACTTCTAGAGCCTACTTTTTTGTGTACTTGTGCCAGATTATATAAATGCACGCACCATATTACATCACACATGAGCTCTCTCATCAGAATCCAGTGATAGCACATAAGTGTTTACCGGGGTGCCCCTATATTAGAATATCATCTGCATTACAAAGATAATCTCACAACTATTTATGTTTTCTTGGTTCTCAGATATTATACGCAATTACAGTGAATATCAGAATCCGCACATCAGAAAAATATTGTGCAACACTACAATAACTTACAAAGTTGGCAACAAGGCATTGAATGCCATTCTGGAAGCAATGAAACTCGTACGCTCCCCACCTGTTGATTCTTGTTCAGAATATCATCCTAATGACTATTCTAACCTCGAGGAGTCAAAGGCAGATGGCCTGTCCTGTTCACCCATCAAGGTGCCTGTTCTAATTTGGCAAGGTTTTATTGATTGCGCGTATCTTGCATATGTTGTCTTGCATTTCTTCTACTTTGTTGCACCGCCATCTGCTTAGTTTACTCATCATATATGTCGAGATGCCATGCTCATCCATTATCAATACATATTCCATCTGTCATCATACCATGTTTTCCACTCAAATGATGTTCTTGTGCATAAAACATCAAAAAGGAAGAGGGTGATTGCTGAACCTGAAGGAGCACCAGCAAAGTCCTTGGAAAAATGTGGTGGTGCCGGAGAAATCAGACAGCACCCCACTTATATTGGCTATACAACCAGTGACACAAAACGTAGGACCGACTCC